AACACATTATTCTTCAGCACACAATATTGTGCATTTAGATCTAAAACTTTGTTTGATTTCCTATGCATAAATGAAAACTGTGTTTATTTTTAGCTCCAAACTGTCGGAGAATTTGAATGATTGTGCATTCTGTGTGTGACTGCTAAGGTCAGAAGGAAGTAGCACTTGGTGTTTATGCATTTTGTGTGTGACCATCGAGGTAAGGACGGAAATGAGCTCTCATTTCATAGGAAGCTTAAGTAAGAGTGATACTGACTCAGGACACTCGACAACCTAACTATTTTCATAAGTACCTAACAGTAAGTGGACAGGAATTTCACAATTTCTCACCTCCTCTTTGATTGGCCAATTGCCCCCCAAGTTAACTCAATATTTTTCCCCTCAGATATGGTTTGGATCAATCCCCATCAAATAAAGACTAGTCCATTCAAGAAAATTAGGTGAAGTCTTATTGCAATATATTCTTTTTAACAGCATTTGCTTTGGGAATTAAGAACAAATCCATAAATATTTAATGATACTGTGTGCTATCAGATGTTACCAAGAATATTATACTACAAAGTTTTAGAAAATTTGCACCATCCTTTCTAATACTTTCTGTGATTAACCCTTGGTACTATATAGGAAATTTTAGTGCCAGTCTCTTGCAGTCTTTCCCTACTCTATACAACCTTAAAATAATGCCACCCTTTTACTCCTATCAATACAGAAATATTACAGAGGACCATATGTAACTAGCTGACCCTACATCTCCCTAAAAATTTGTACCTAAAATTTTTTTTTTACCAACTCAACTTAAACGAGAAATATCAAAATGTGCAGGCAATTTTTGTCCAAATCTTGAACACTACAAAGTCTTGAAACCCATCTGCAGTCGAATATCCTTACTAAAATGACAAATTCTAAATTAAAATTATGAGACATATCTGATTGATTAAATTCTCCATTCTCTGAGTAAAAATATCCTTATTTCCTAGTGAACAAATCCTCTCCATTATCTGTATTAAAGTATTGTTGTCTCCTGCAAGACGGACCTTTTCTATTATCAGAGAAAGGTGTCATCGTCTCCACAACTTGCCTAGCATTCTAATATTTTGTGACAGTGTTGCATAACTTACCACTGTTGTATTACATTGTTACATAGCTAACTCCCCTCCTGTCCCAACATTGTTATATTTTTATATAGCTAACTCCCCTCCTGTCCCAACATTGTGTTATATTATTATATAGCTAACTCTCCTGATGTCCCAGTATTGTGTGACCTTGTTATATAGCTAACTCCCCTAACGTCCCAACATTGTTATATTTTTATATAGCTAACTCCCCTGATGCCCCAGTATTGTGTGACAGTGTTGTATAACTTACCACCATGATGTCCCACTATTGTATTACATTGTTATATAGCTAACTCCCCTGATGCCCCAGTATTGTGTGACAGTGTTGTATAACTTACCACCATGATGTCCCACTATTGTATTACATTGTTATATAGCTAACTCTCCTGATGTCCCAGTATTGTGTGACAGTGTTGTATAACTTACCACCATGATGTCCCACTATTGTATTACATTGTTATATAGCTAACTCTCCTGATGTCCCAGTATTGTGTGACAGTGTGGTATTGGTAATGCCCCTGATGTCCTATTATTTTGTGATAATGTACTTAATCCTAGCTACTGTGAGATACAGATTGTTACAATATCATTGAATTGAAAATGGTAACAGATCCAAACAAAGAGTTAACCTGGCATTTATTTGGTGCAGGGTTTCTTTGTATCAAAATTATGCAACCAAATTATATGACTATTGTTTATATTATGATGGATGTGTTTTACTGAAGAAATACTTAATCATGGCATTCCTGCAATATGTCTTTACAAAAATGATCCATAGCAATAACTGAAATATATCAAAAGAAAATGATTCGAATTGTAAATTCTTTATGAAACCATAAAATATCTAAGTGTACATTAAACATGGTCATGTTAAGCAGCTAAATATTAAGTAGTAGGAAAAATTTTTTTTCATTTTGTTGTAATCTTCATGTGTCAAATAATTCAAATATTGAATCAATTATAATCATTTTAAAAAACTCCTGGACTAAAATAATTGGCAATGTGACAAATATGAAGTAATACTGACATATGCAGTTTATATGCACAATCAAACAGCTAATCTTTAAAACAATCCTAGATTGAAATTTACATAGTGAGACAATTTCAAACTATTTCCAAATAAAAAAAAATGTTACATAGATTTGATATCAGGTTTGACAAATACAAGACACACAGTTTATGTGAGAAATTCTCTACAATTAATAATCTTGTAACAACAATTCCAAACAGACAATTAGTAAAGTGCAGGATCTATCAATTAATTAGATCTCACACTGATAAATTTGTGCACAATGAGAGGTCAAGGTCATCGACATACACCGGGTTGTTCTATCATGTCTGCCCAATTGTCACCATCGACTGACAATAGTCACACAAAGCTCATCAGAGGCCTCGGCTTCACACTAATATAAAGACCCATTCACAAGGCCTACTCATGCTAACTAAAGGCTTCGATTAAGTTTTAAGATTATTTTAAATTCAATTGCAAATAGTTGAAATCAACGCCTCGATTCTATTGATATTTTGTCCAGACAATCTATGATAATACAACACTGATTTACGGTACAAGTCATCAACTAGCTCTCCACAAATATGTTCAAACACATTCTATTGTCGTTTAAATTAAGGTAGATCTTTGATTTTTAATAAATCATTATGCTACCCTTGACTGTTGATAACAGGAAAAATATATCTAATTGAAATGTGATCTACTTTATGGCAAATAAGATGCCTTCTTCTATTTCAAATTTTGGGAACAATCCCGAAACTTTGTGACTTGTAGCTGAGCAATGTCACAAGTACAACTAGGTCAATTTCAGCTTAAGTAGCTACTGAAGAATAAGATGGAGCTGAAAATGAGTCTGCAGACTTGAAGTATCAGCGATATATTGCAGGCGGATGATTATCACAATCAGTGTTAGCCATTTCTGTTTGGAGGGTTTGCTTCCTACCCAAACACTACTTCAGTATAGACACTCGTAATGACCAGAATGTTCTTGTAAGAGTCTAATTTTGCAGGCATTTCTGATGGTTTACTAGGGCTTGCGGAAGTAATGATATGTTGGCTTCATTACACCTATCAGGGAGCAGTAGACATACACAAATAATGAAAACCAGTTGTGCTAGCTAGTAAGAACGGTACAGTACATAAGTCTAGTGATCTTGACGTGGGCCTGACCGATAAATAAACATCTCCTTAAACTCAGCATTTACTAATGTGTCAGCACCAATTTTATATCTGATAATATCACATAGCTTTGGCCCCTAAATAAATGAAGTCCTAACAGGATCGTGCGAGGTCATATTGTTTTAAACTAGGATTTTCTAAAAAGAACTTTCCTGATATAAGCTGCACTTTCATAATGATTAGACAGACATCAAGAGATAGGCCTTTTACTTCACAACATATACCTTGCATAACCTAATAACTAATTATGATAACTTCCTAGACAAAATACCAGCCAAACCAAAGAATTCTCTTAAAGGGAGGTAACTGTTAAAATATTTGCCAAGAACTCTCTTTCATCTCAACATTATTCATTGTTTAATCACATAATTACAATTTTATAGTTATGTAACAAGCTGAGAAGTTTAAGTACCTGTATCCTCTAATCTGTAGATTTCAAAATTATGCACGGTTCTTTATAGGTAAAACCTATTCAACAGCACTTCTGAGATATAACCAACTCTGTAGAAGTGACGTGTATACTAAATTACATTGTAATATTTTATGTGTTTAAGTCATCAATAGATAACAGTTATACTCTATTCCAAATCCATCAGTCTATAGTCATTTTGATAGAGTAGATGTCTTTTTTCCTCAAATAAAGATTGCTACATTGTGAAACTCAAGGAATGGATTTCCCAATATTTGTGAACTAACATAGTAATTACCAGCATATAACTAACACTCATTTCCTAGCATTTGTGCTTTAGTAACACAAGTATTTCAATGTTTATGTTAAATGATTTCCCCCCACGACTAAGATTTCACACGCGTGAAACTAGTTCTGCCTAGTATTTTACCCACCCACAGACGACCTCCGTCTAAGCTAGACATACTCTTATCTGTACTAAGTAAACAAGCAACCCAGCCATATTGTTGTCGGCTTAACACCATAAAAAAAGTATTTATAATACAGCTTATATAGGCCAAGGCGATCTGGTAAAGTTAGGATTTAATACTGACTTTAGTTACATAAGTAGATATATCACAGGGAAATTACGGGAAATCTCTTCAAGTAGGATCAAAGTCTAAACAAAATATATTTTCAATTTTAAATATAAGTGTTGTAAATTAAAGAGATTAGCTTTCATAGGCCAATTTCTAAGTCGGATATCAGTCATCCTATATCACAGTATGTTTTCTACTCATAGTCTTTCTAAGTACAACATAACCAGTAAGTTAGGTGTAATTTGAGGAAGGCACTAATTTCTTCCTATCTACCTTGATATGAAGCCACCTTGATAGTCTGAATCCAGTGCCAGCTTAGATGAAGCTTCAAAATGTGTTCATCAGAATCTGACATAAACCATTCAGATTACAAATTTTCATTTTTCTAAATAAACCATATTGGAAAAGATTTTCTCGTAAAACCTGTCATTAAATGTTGGTAATAATAGCACTAAGATTGCAACTGTTTTAAGCAGACTATAAGATGTCAGAATTGGGACCAACTTTTTGTATAGATGTGACTTTTATTAATTTTTTCTTCCTGTTTTGAGGGAAAAACACAAGTTTCATAAAATGTTACTTCACGGAAGTGTTAGTTTTCTTAAAAAAAAGGGAGAGGGTGGAAACTTAAACAAAACAAGGACACAAATTCAAATGATTAATTTTGAAAAAAAAAATGAAATGAAATAAATGAAAGAAATTTGTCCTACCTTTATAGAATCAAAGCAAGCCGTCACACGACCATTTTGGACTTCAACATGGGGCGGAGGGTGTGCGAACTTGCACTCGTTTTCAGTTCGCGAACATTTGTTGCGTTGATATTCCCGGCAGACTTCAAGTGTGAGCCACCTCGAGTCCTTCACAGCAGATGACAGATTCAGCATTGTGTTCACCATGGCCATAACAAACTCAACTAATACATAGAAACTCCGAGAATTCCCCGGAAAATGATGCTCCGTATATATGAAAGACGTTGGTTGTATTTTGTTTGTTACAAATATTACAAAGTCTTTTTCTTAAATATTTCGTAAAAAATATTATCACGAAAAATTCACATATATTTTTTCTTGTACTTTCTCATCAATATACTTAACAAGAATATTGAATCTTAAATGAATACAAATATAAACGATTATAACTATATATTAAAGGTCCCACACAATTGCGTATTTGTACATAAACACGCTACGTCTCTGGGTAAATATACTATAACAAAACAACTTCCTTCTGAAGTGAGTAATTCCAGGAAATGTAACACGAACTTTAAAAAAATCCAAGAATCAATGGAATTAAATATGTAGACACTTGGAGATGTAAAAATGATGGGAAATCTAGCAGGCTCCGATGATTAACTATCATGAACGAAGCAAGATGGCGTTGTGCGGTGTAGTTCTATCTCCCACAGCTTAAGGAAAATCTACAACATATCAAAATAAAACATTTTGAGAAAAAAATACAAAGTGAAAAAAAACGTTCACTGTAGAAATGTCCTTCTACATCAACAATAAGGAACTTTAAAGAACTTTGATCAAATTTGAATTTTTGTTTTAGAATCAAACAGAACCGCATATATTTTTCATTTCCTGTAAAATGAATGCAGACTAAACATTAAGACAAACAGGTAGCAAAATTCTAATTCTTTAGTCAACATTAATCAAATACAGTAATAGAGATGAACTTTCACTTTTTTGTTTTTGTCAATATCTGTCACTAAGAGGTTTAAATATATATACATTGATTCATTTCAGGTTTTGGCCATGACTTATTTCTACAAACTTGTTCACTTTTACAGATTTTTAAAAGTTTTTTGTTCAGTTTTCTCCATAAAGATATTAAAGCATACATGCTTCTTGTTAACTGTTTGTAAAAAATGCCCCAACACTTTTACATGTTTCCTTTTGGCTCATGTTCTATCTTCCCAAGGCTTTTGTAAGAACTTTTATACAAGACAAAAAAGTCTAGTATTTCTTCCAGACACAAGAGCTGTTTTTTATTGCTGGGATGGAGTTGTGAACAAGACCTATAATGCAATAGAATGGTAGAGAAGTGTCACCCAGACGATCAGCCACAGGAAGAATTTCACTCTCAATCTAATCAAGATTTTAGTGAAGTGTGTGTCGAACCCAGTAGGGAAAAAGGCAGAATCCTTTACAAAAACATTAGCACGTTTCTAGGACTCCCAGTAACACCATGCCTAAAGGGGGTGAGCTGATCAGAGGTAGTGATAAGATTGGAAACCCTGGGTTAATTTCTCCGCATAGTGTGAACAAGTGAATCTTCCTACTTAAGTACAGAGTGACACAACACCGCAGCTGTCCAAGTTACAATTTCCAAACAGTAATTCTTCTAAAACAACTCACAGGATTTCCAATATAAGTACTGGTATTTATGTTTAACGAGTCCTCGTTACTGGTGAATACAGATCAAAATGAAAATATTCCTCCAGAAACAATTCCTAACACTGGAGAAATATTCAGTTTTAAGTTGATTTGTCTAATATGATGACAATATCAACAAATTTCACCATTAATACACAATACTACAGAATCCTCGTCTTACAACGTGCAGTAAAATTGTATTCACAGAAGACAATTCCTGAATCATAATTGGTTCTCAAACTGACAGAAAACAAAATAAAACAAAACTTCACCTCTTCCTATGCATGTCTGAAGCCTCCAGAGAGCAGTGTGTGATCTAACACTATTGTATTATCCCTCCACTAATGCATATGCTTAACACTCCACAATTAAACTTACTTCAGGGCAGCACAAGCATTGCATGTGTCGGCTGGGCAGGAACACTAGTAATAATGGCCATTGGGGAAGGTACCCACACCATCAACAGTAGAAAGTTTTTTTTCTTGCATACTTATATTGCTATAGGCTTCCAAGATGGAAATGAGATGGGGAGGGGGAGTGGAGGAGGCGAAGGAATTTCTGATACTTGGCCTCCTACTGGCATAGTTTCGGCAATAAGCAGCCTGTTTTTGTCATTTCTACTCTCTTCACCAGCAAGCATTTATCAGATAAGAAGTGAAATCTACCCCCAGCCTTCCTTTTCATCTGTCAAGTTCCTGCAGTAAAGTAGTGGAAATGTAAGCAGTGCTTGATTGAATAAGACAGTGCTAGAAACACAGACCTTTCTTAGCTTACACTTTCTTCATGTACATTCATATCCTTATACCCTCCAACCCTATAATTTTAATGAGACAAGCAAATGTTTGCAGGAAGTATTTAGTTGGAAGGGGAAGGGGACAACAGAGGGATTGTAGTGGTAGGGGGGTAAGTGACACAGGACTTCCTTCCCTCCAGAGGATTGTAGTGGTAGGGGGGGGGGGGTAAATGACATGGAGACTTCCTCCCCTCCAGAGGATTATATTGGTAGGGGGGGTAAATGACATGGAGACTTCCTCCCCTCCAGAGGATTATATTGGTAGGGGGGTAAATGACACGGAGACCTCCTCCCCTCCAGAGGATTGTATTGGTAGGGAGGTAAATGACACGACGACCTCCCCTCCAGAAGATTATATTGGTAGGGGGTAAATGACATGGAGACTTCCTCCCCTCCAGAGGATTATATTGGTGGGGGGGGGGGGGTAAATGACATGGAGACCTCCTCCCCTCCAGAGGATTATATTGGTAGGGGGGTAAATGACATGGAGACCTCCTCCACTACAGAGGATTATATTGGTAGGGGGGTAAATGACACGGAGACCTCCTCCCCTCCAGAGGATTGTATTGGTAGGGAGGTAAATGACATGGAGACTTCCTCCCCTCCAGAGGATTATATTGGTAGGGGGGTAAATGACATGGAGACCTCCTCCACTACAGAGGATTATATTGGTAGGGGGGAAAATAACATCCTCCTGTCCAGAGGAAGGGTTGGTAGGCATAAGTAGTTCAGTAATTACAATGGGGCTATCAGTCAAACAACAACAGTACACCTAACATTTAATAGAGAGGAAATACATCTGAATCACATGTTACACTTCACATGCTGAAGGATTTAACTAAATATATGTTGAATTAAAAAAATCATGAGTTTGAATTAAAGTTATGGTACCTAATACTGTAATGAAATGTGCTTTTGATGGATGCAAGGTTAAAACCTGGCAACTAACTGTTTAAACAGTATTTGTTTAGGGTCGATTCTCAATACCATTTTATAGCATTCACTTTTAGGGCCAAAACAGGTATGATAATACTGTGTAAGACTTCATGTAAATGACACTTGTGTTCAAATTCCAAAGGAGATCTTAATATATTTTGAAACTCTAATTTATGAGGTATAATAAATCCAAACCTAATTATAGTAACATTTATATAAAAGTTAAATATCACTATATTTTTGAAAATACATTTCCAGATTATCTCCCCTGAATGATTGATTCTTCAACTTTGATTTGGTAAGCAAATATATAGATATGTGCAAATAATGATAAGCTTGGTGACCTTTGAACACTGCACTGACACAATCAATCATTCTACTGTAAAAAGTGCAAATGAAATTTTTTATGAGATTTTCTTGTCAATCCAGTAGGCGACCAAGAAAACATCCTGCTCGTTGCTTAAATAAAGACTGCAAGGATTGATAAGAAAATGGGAGAGGACATAAACAAGGTGATCAGCCCACCTTACTATTTGATGTGCATAGAATTTACCTGTACGATATTAAAAGGACAAGTACAACAACGCAGGCAAAACCCATTCATTTACAGACAACACTTTGTACCGCCCTACATATGCAAATAAAAAAAAAAGAAGTGAAGCACCAAACGTGATTTTACATAACATTATTATGAGCAGGTATTATAAATGTGTCTTGTGACAGAATACAGAACTTAAATACAGCCAACCACAAGATCATACATTATCCTCGACACACAATACAGGAGAAAGGACAAACAGACAGACAAGTACATGTACCCTGCAGCAGAGACACACAGACATGACTCACAAGACCTGAAGCGAGCATGAAGGAGGTAGGACAATGACAGAAAATGACAATCCCTTAAAAAATATGAAATCCTCAGAACAATTTCATTTGCATAATCCTTTAGAAAACCTTATCTGAACAGACTTTTTTTAATCATCTCCAAATGCAATGATGCAATTTTTTAATGGAGAGACTTAAGCAATAAATATAGAGTCTGGGCAGACAAAGCAAGAAATAAAAAAGTGATTTCAGCAAAAAAAAAAAATATCTTCTACCCTTGTGCTGCATCAAGCTCTGCGAATAATTATAGCCATGCATGCCAATCAAATCCCCTAAGATGAATTTTCAATTTCAGAATTTGAATATGTGCCCGCATGCATCATGAATTTTCCAAAATTGAATATAACTTTTTATAATCGGTGGTATCAGATCAGCTGGCAGGTATTTCAGGATCCAGCTTTCACATACAATCTTAATTTACATACAGACAACACTTTCTGTCTGATAAAACTCCACTTCTACAAGGGTCTTCATTATGCCATAGATAATATCTGATTTGATAGATCCTTCAAACCAAATAAAACTGGTCCTTGAAATTTTTATACACACAGGACAGCTAGATATACAAATGTCAGTATTCAACAAAAATTTCAATCTGGTATGTTAGACAACACCCATATATGAAAATAAAAAGTCCTGGTACAGCAGATACATTCCCACTGTGACATATGTTTTGTGTATGATTGGGGCATACCACTGCTTAGTAAGAGGTAAGCTCAGTTTCTGAGGATAAGTTTGACACCCCCACTCCCATGAATGTTGTGTGTCAACCTCTGTTCCCATAGAATTCTTTCACTGATAATCTCTGCAGTTGAAACAATATTTTGTAAAAAAATGAAACTTTTTAACAAACCTTACAAAACTCCAATCTATTGTAACCTGTTTTTACTGATAAACTATGTCCATTAACAAAACTCTGATTTATTGTAACCTGTTTTTACTGACAAACAAATCCCACTACCAAAACTCCAATCTATTGTAACCTGTTTTTACTGATAAACTATGTCCATTAACAAAACTCTGATCTATTGTAACCTGTTTTTACTGACAAACAAATCCCACTACCAAAACTCTAATCTATTGTAACCTGTTTTTACTGACAAACAACTCCCACTAACAAAACTCTAATCTATTGTAACCTGTTATTACTGACAAACAAAACCCACTAACAAAACTCTGATCTATTGTAACCTGTTTTTACTGACAAACAAATCCCACTAACAAAACTCTGATCTATTGTAACCTGTTTTTACTGACAGACAAATCCCACTAACAAAACTCTGATCTATTGTAACCTGTTATTACTGACAAACAAAACCCATTAACGAAACGCCAATGGTACTATACTAAGTGTTTGTACAAACAAATCCTACAAACAAAACGCCTAATCTGTTGTGTCCTGTACATATTAATAAACAAAAC